GCTCCTGCGGAAGAGGTGGAGCTGACAATGGGCAGTCAGAGCCAGAGCTTCCTGCCTCTCCAGATCAATGGTCTGCATCTCTTGGTATTTATAGTTCACCACGCATTTCCGTCATGACTGTTAGGGCACCTTTGCAAAGCCTTTGCTAGTGGGTTTTTAGCCATGCAGATCTGAGCTCTGAGATAAAATCCAGGAGACTAAACAAACAAACCTGAGTAGCTCAGTTCTGGCCGTGATGCCAGTGGCAGGATCCTCAGAGAGCCCTGTGGGAAGCAGCCTGAAGGCACAATGCCACCCTGGAGGTGTGAGCCTGAGTTTCTCTTCCCAGGGCATTTGCTTTTTGCTGTGAGAGATGCATGGAGCGCCCTGCTGCCCTGCCCCCCATGCCAGGGCCTCCCCAGGATCCCCCTCTGCCCACCCTGCAGCCCCTTCTCTTCCTCACAGAGCAGGGTGGGCCAGGGACCCCCAGCCCCCACCTCTCTCCCACCAGCTGCTTTGGGCAGGTCCCACCAGCTGCAGAGAGATCCCCTCAGCCATCGGTCTTGACGTGTCTGTCCACAGGGTGGAGGTCACAACTTGCATATGAAAAGAGTGCACAGAAAATAAGGATCAAAACTGGGATTTTATGGGGATCAGGTCATGGAGCAGAAGGGAAAGGTAGAAAGCGAGGGGAAATATTTGTGTGCCAAGGTGAACAACAGCAAAAAGAACATTTTGCTGATGTGGTTTGGTGCTGTCCTTCTCAGCAGAGCTGCAGGTCAGCTCACTCTAGGACAGCAGTGTGATGAGGAGCCAAAGCAGACGTGGTTTGGCTGGATGGATGCAGGCAAAGGTGCAGCCCCCCCTGCAGAGCCCACCCGGGGGGCCATTGTTCAGAGGGGTGAGGGCTGTCACTGAACTGTGTGAGGCAGGAACAGCTCTAAGGAGGAACCTGTGCTGGTGGCTGGTTTCCAGTGAAGGGAAGATGAGAGCAGTTCAGCACTGCTGGAGGCACTGTCTCTTCACACTGCTGTTGTCTGTCTTCTAACAAGCACAAGTGCAGCACACTGAATATTATTTCCTTTATTTCCCCAAGCATAATGTCTTCATTTCATAATTATCATGTCACAGTTGCAAAGAGAGGGAAATAAATAAATGTGTCTCTTGTCCAACATGATTTTTTTCTGTCCTCTAAGCGAGTGAGTTTGGGCTTAATTATCAGTCATTTAATCCTAATAAAACAGCAGCAATGTTACATCATGAGCATTACTCAAATTTGTTCAATGATGTTCTGACATGCTTTTTATTATTTAGTGATCTCTTACTAAAGCAAGATTGCCTCATCAGTAGTTGTAACCAAAACGAAATTACTATTTGTAGGCTTTAGAAAGGAAGGGAGTTGAGAGGAGACTGAAGTACCCCTATGAGAGGGAATGAGACCAGAGGAGACTTTCATTAAGACTTACACAGACTTGAGCAGTGGAGTGGGATACAGAAATAGGAAAGCGTCAGGGATGCTGACTTAAAAGAGGATTGATAATGGGCAACAAGTTCCAGGGTGAGACACAAGGCAGCTCTAATGCCTGCTGAGCTCCACCATGAGGGGCTGCTGCCTCTCTCGGGGGCTGCCAGCCTGGGAGGGGCTGTGGTGGCTGCTGGCTTATGTGCCACCCACCTCACAGCAGCAGCTAAGAGAGGCTCAGAAAGATTTCACCTTGGGTTACAAAGATTTGGTGGGGACAGACCCCTGTGATGTAAGAGGCACCCCTGGATCTGACCCATGGTGCAGAGCAACATAGAAGAGAAGGCAGGGGAGCGATAACCCTGAAGCCTGGAAGTGATCCCAGGCACAAAGAGGGTGGAGCAAACCTAGCAACCAGACCGAAATTCAGACCTTCTCTAAACTCGTTTTTCTTTCCAGTGTGTTTTCTTCAGCTTTTTGTTTCATACTGATCCTGGAGGAAATTCTGGCTGTTTTCTTCCCCTTACTGGTAGGTCAAGACCAGGCACAAGTAGGGAGCAGTCTGGGGGAGTGTCCTCACTTTTTCCAGAGCTGATGTGTTCCACAGGGATTTGCTGCCAGTTTTTTTCCTGTGACAAAACTCCTAACACAGTAACTACACAATTACTTTTTTCAACTGTTCCCTTTTGTCTTCCAGGGTTTGGTATGACCACCCCAGCCACCGTTGGAGGCAAAATCTTTCTAATATTTTATGGCCTTATAGGCTGTGCAGGGACCATTTTGTTCTTCAACCTGTTCCTGGAGCGCTTGATCACTGTCATAGCCTACGTCATGAAGTCCTGCCATGAGAGACAGCTGAGGAGGAAAGGGGTCCTCCCTCACAACGGCCGGCGGGGCTCAGGGACCTCTGAGGTGGACAGCCTGGCAGGCTGGAAGCCCTCCGTGTACTACGTCATGCTGATTTTATGTGTAGCATCACTCATAATTTCTTGCTGTGCCTCTGCAATGTACACACCAATTGAAGGGTGGAGTTACTTTGACTCACTTTACTTCTGCTTTGTGGCCTTCAGCACCATTGGTTTTGGTGACCTGGTCAGTAGCCAGAACGCCAAGTATGAGAGCCAAGGCCTTTATCGCTTTGGCAACTTTGTGTTCATACTCATGGGGGTTTGCTGCATCTATTCCTTATTTAACGTGATCTCTATTGTGATCAAACAATCCATAAACTGGATATTAAGGAAGCTGGACTGCAGGTGCTGCCCCAGATGCCAAAGAAAACTATTCCGTTCGCGGAGGAACGTGGTGATGCCGGGAAACGTGCGCGGCCGGAGAAACATCTCCATCGAGACCGATGTTGTCAATGAGAGTGACACAGACGGGCGCCGGCTGTCAGGAGAGATGATCTCCATGAAGGACTTCCTGGCCTCCAATAAAGTCTCACTGGCCATCATGCAGAAACAGCTGTCGGAAACTGCTAATGGCTATCCGAGGCAAATGAGCTCTAATTCAAAGCAAAATGGATTCTCTGGTGGGGTTGGAGCCCTAGCAATTATGAATAACAGACTGGCAGAGACAAGTGTGGATAGGTAAAATAATAGCAGTAATAACAGTGATGGAGTGTGAACCATTTCAACAAATACAGAAAGAACAGAAATAAAGGGGCAGCAGCTGGGAAAAGGGTGTCTCCAGAGAGTGGGATGGATGTGAACAATATACCTCCTGTTGGAAGACCTCTGACACTTGTTGGGGCTGTCACTTGATGTCTTTGCTCTTTGATTTACACCAGTCTCAGCCTTCCTTCCTTCCCCTTCCTTCTATTCCTCTAACAGGACACTGCAGGAGAAATTTAATTTAGCCATCAGATCAATTTTTCATGTCCTGTTTTCCTCCATTTAAGTGAAATACAGATTTCAGGATAAGAAATCTGTGGAATGGCAATATACTAAATGTGTCTACTGAACACATTCTAAATTCAAAGATTGTTCTGAGCTTTCTGTCTTACCCTTGTCATACCTGTTTTCTGAAAGTAGCCAAGTAGACCAAAATCAGCCTTTCTCTGTGATACTGCAGATCTAATTTAATGGAATTAAAAAACAAACGATTTTATTTTATGTATCACTTCAAAAATTTTATTCCTATTGTGAAACAGCTAGGCTTGAGAAGCCAGCTTCTGCTGCCATTAGTATTTGTGCAAATCTGGAATAATTGTATGAAAATTGATAGGACTACTCTGGAGCTTTGTGATATGAATGAGAAGTTTGCCTTTAAAAATCTAATTTAATCTTCCCTTCAAAAGGATACTGTCAAATGTGATAGAATAAAAATCTATAGAACTTTTCTTACCTTCTTCCCATTTGCAAAACGTGATTTTTTTCTAGGCTCCTTTTTCTTCTGGAATGGAATCACTGTGGCTTTCTGTTTCAAAAATGCCATATTAAATTGAAAACTGCCATGATGACGAGTTGTATGAATTATTCCACAATAACAATTAGAGACTTTTCCAAATTTCTATTCATATGATGCTCAATTGTGGCTGATGAAATAGGTCATTAGCATTATGCAATGCAACTAGTAACTTAAGTTTACTAAACAGTCTTTAGGATGCAATTAGATTGCCATGCCAACAGTCTGTGTGTTAATTATAAGTGACTGTGATCACAAAACCACTTTGCCAGTGTCCTTTTTACCTTTTCATGTACTTCTCTTATTCTTAGCCTGTTTTTCTGGCTTGTGGTGATGAAAATGACAAGGTCTTGATTAGGAAAATAGAAAATGTTTAGCTCCTCATTTTTCTCAATGAAGCGCTTTGAGTGTTCATTATTACTAGAAAGGAAATTTCAGTGAGAAGAATAATAACAGAAGAATATGAGAACAGAAAGCAAGGTGATCTTTAATGACAGTTAAATCATGCTTTGTATTAGGTATTTGGAGAAATAAGGAATTAAATTAACATGAAGTTTAGCAAGGATTGAAGAAAGACTGGGCTGAATTCCTGATTCTCCTTTAACAGTGCAATGCATTAAAGCTAAAAAATATATGAGTGTAAATAAGCAGAATTGGTCACAAAGGACCTGATTCAGTTCTCCATGGAGAGAACAGTACATGCATCAGGAATAAATGTTTTCTCACAGCTAGAAAACCTTGCAGAATACTGCAGTTTTAAGAAGTATAAAACACCAGTATGCAGTTCTTAATTTCCTAGAATCCTGGAATGGAACAATGCAGGTAGCCTCTTCAGTTTAATTTCTACTAGGAATCAATGACAGATCCTTTCTCTTCATTCTGACCAAAAGTTCTTTTCTTTAGGTACCTAAAACTGTAGGATAACATTTTAATACACATTTTAAGCCATATTTTAATTTTAAAAAAACATACTTCTTGGATTCCTCTCATAAAATAAAATAAATATGAGATTAAACAACTATACTTAACTAGTAAAAAGTATTGCAAGCTCTTTTTGACATGTTACAGCTAAAATGTCCTGATTAAAAGTAAAATCCTGCAGTCCATAGGAATGAGGAGAGCTTCAAGCTCAAGCCATTAGTCCAAATTCTGGTATCAGCTCAGCTGTGCAGCAGTGGATCTCTCTAGTAATAAATATCCCTTCATATTTGCAGCCATGTAAAATTCGAATCAGCTCCCAAACTATAACTTTGGTGAGAAAAGCAGTCTGACCTGTTTTTGGGGGGAGGGGAGGTAGGGGTGGTGTGTATTAGCAAAAATTGCCTCTGAATTATTTTAGATTATATTCTATTACCCAAGATACATTACATTGTTATACTTGTTTTTTTTCTCCCGAGACCTTCTTTGTCTCAACCTCACTGAATAAAAATACTTGGATATAAAAAAAAGTACTACTCTGAAGCCTTCTTTTCAAATGAATTCAACAACACCTTCATTCACTGCCTGTAACTCCAACATTTCATTATTACAGAAGTGCTCCTCATGCTGTCAACTAGCAGAAATACTTTAGGACTTGACTCATTGCTGAAGCAGGGCTCTCACTCTGGGCAGAACAACCACAGTCTTGAAAACTGCAACTTACTTCTCCATTTGTGACTGTTAGCAACTCTTAGATAAAAATGTCAGATTTTGCTGAGCACTGAACAGAGATTACTCAACACTAGTCCCTTTTCCAGATGATTGAGGCAATCATCTGCACATTATCATTAGACAAGTAACCAGAACGTGCAAGTTATTATATAGTTCTGTGTCATCATTAATGGATCTGGCTTCTGTATGGATTTTCATTCAAATCATTCTATACCTAATTAGCTTTCAAAATTTGGTTCCAGAAGTCTAAAACCAGGGTAATATTCATAGCAACTAGGCAAGAAAGTAGATGAAGAGAGAGAAAAATATATAGACACTGCTGGAACAGGTTAAACATTACAATCTGCATAGTCAGTTCAACAGAGATGATTCAGCTTTTAGAACATGACACATGCCAGTAGCAGATCATGAAGATGACCTTCAGATGGCTTCAGCAGCTCCCCAGACATGAGGCAGTTACGTTGCTCCTTTCCATTCTTAGGGTTATCAAGCCTTGGTTCCCATCACCACAGAGGAATCTTTATCAGCTGTTTGCAACAGATCTCAGAACATCTGTGACTATGAAAGCAAGGGACTAATATGTAGTCTTGATCAAACAGATGAGGAAAGGCTGTATGAGACCTTTGGTGTGCACTAGCTCTGCCTTTGTTGGGCTTATAGTTATGCCACTCCTTGATAATATCATTATCGTACAATACAATTATTGCACATTTAAAGGAAATTAACTACAATCAAATAAGTAAAGATATCTCTTAGGGGGTTTTCTGCTAGTTTTAAATTTTCTAAAATTTGTGTCATTGATGTGCTTTGCTGGATATGTAAGTGTCAAAGGAGTTATATTAATTTCTCTCCATGAAGGGTGTGGTCCTCTATTTACAAGGACATGAATAGGCTTTTCAAAGGCATATAAACCCTGCTGAAAGTCAATTCACTTCCCACGTACATTGACTTTCAGTAGAAGTCAGGTACCTAATTCCCTAAGGCAATTTCAAAATCCCAGCCATGTTTTAGGTTTTGAATCTAAGCTGACCTGACAGTGTCCCTGAAAAGTTCAAACACTTGGAGCAAGGTTTCAGTGTTGCAGTATAGTAATAACTGAATTCATTTATTTAAAAGCCTTTTATAGTGAAAGCTTTGCACCAACCCAACAGCACAGGCAATGTTTACAGTTTGTTTCATTTAATCTTGGCCTCTGCCAGTTTTAATTCTATTTGACACATTTATAAGTTGAATAACAAAGAGAAGGTTGAGCTGGGCATGAAAAACAAACCAGCTTCATTTCTCAGACTGGATTAATCAAGAGAAAGAGGTCAAGTTGGGGAAAGAGCTTTCTGATTAACATTATAGTTGAATAAAGTACCTCTGGAGGTGGAGGGTATTAAGTTGTTTGGATGACTCCTCTCCAACAGCTGTGAAAGTGGAGCTATTTGGTATGACCTGCCAATGTCCCCACTCTGGGAACAGCAGTTCAGTGAGCCTCAGCTGAGAGAAGGGTAAGCATTTCAATCCATATAGTTTGCATCTTATGTTGTTTTGAGTTAGGTTACTAATATTTGGCTAATACTGTGATTCCTCAGACTCTTGAAGAAGTTGTAAAGTTCTTTTGACAGTTTTATGTACAAGTTATACTTGCTGAAAATGCTGCCAAATACACCAGTACAATTGGTCAATTTGAGAACTTTCACAGTAGTGTTTTGCTTACTCCAGGAAGTAAATATACAATCCTCTCCCTTTCCATATTTTCCAAACATCTCTTGACAACAATGTCCATACCATACTCTATGCTTCCTGCTTAAAAGATTACATTTCTCTAGGAAAATTAAAACCATTGCTCATCTAAGTGGAACAACACAGTCCTTTTCTTTATCAGATTCAAGAGAAACACAGTGTGAACACAAAGAATGACACTTCAGGTTCAAGTAGTCAGAAGCTTTTTGATACGGCCTGTGTTTATAGAGATGCTCACATCAAACCAGAGAGAAATCTCATCACTGCAGACTTTTAAAAACATGAGTAAATGTAAGACCAGCTTTGTGCAATATATACACTAATTTATATTTTGTTTTTCTACAGTTGCACTCTAATATTTGTCAACAGTTTTTATTATTTAAAATAAAATAGAATAATTGAATAAAGAATATATATTTGCAAAGATTTTGAGAGACATACTAGTGAGATTTAAAACAAAATATCCTTTTCCTCAGGCTGCCTACCTTTTATAAAGGGAAAATTTGATTAAAATTAGAATTAATGGGTTCTCCTTCCAAGCAAGTGTGCCAATTTCTGGATTATAATTTGATTTCCTACTAACTGTCATGCAGAAGCTCCCAGAGAGAGGCAAGATGGCCTTGTTTTCAGACTATCTTTTGAAATGTCTTTCAAAGCTATTCCCCCTTTCAAAGCAACAGCACACTCAGTGTTTTCTGTTTGTGGTCTTATCTTAGAAAACACAACCTTGCTTTTTGATATCTTTAAAAGAAAAAGATGCACATGAAGAAAAAATAAAATAAGCTTACATAACCTTTATATGTACTGCT